TGGGTCTGACCTTCTGCTCTGCCCGCAGATGGCCGGGTGCGTGTCCAGGGTGGAGCTGTCGGTGACCTGCCGGAGCCTCCTCGACAGGGACCTGGGCTCCAGGTCCGACCCCCTCTGCGTGGTGCTGCAGGACGCGGGCGGCGGCCGCTGGGCTGAGGTAAGGGCGGAGGCAGCCCTGCTTGGCCCCGGGGCGCTCCCATCCCCGGTGCTCCGGGAAGGCACAGGGTGCGGGCGGTTCAGAGTTGCATTCCGCGAGCAGTCCCCCGTGCCCGCGCACAGACTCCGGAGCTCTGCCTTCGTTGGTCTCATTAACTGCTCGTGCGTTGGCTTAGGGCTGCATCGGGGTGTTCCTTTGCCTGTTACCGCGCGACCTGTCCTCTTTCCTTTACCCCGGAGCACGCAGCCCAGAGTAGTGTTCACCAGCCTTTTTTTCCCCCTAATTTTCAGAGTTTTCCCATACTTTAACCTTTATTATCCAATGCAGTTTCCCTTCTCACAAGACATCGGTCAGGCCAGCGGCAGGGCCTGGTTTGTCACCAAGCAGGAGGCGCAGTCCTGCGTGTGCGGTCTGGCTGGTGCCTGTGTTGGCCAAGCGCAGGGGCCTGGGGCTGCAGAGGAAAAGCTGTGTGGGAGAAAGCGTTCTTCTTGCTGGTTGTCAACGGCTTTGCTTCCATGTTTGTGCAGCTGGATCGCACAGAGAGGATCAAGAACTGCCAAAACCCCGAATTCTGCAAGAAACTGGTTGTGGACTACTATTTTGAGAAAGTGCAGAAGCTGAAATTCGGCGTGTATGATATCGATAACAAGTCCTTTGATTTAAATGACGATGACTACCTTGGAGGGATCGAGTGCACGCTGGGACAGGTATGCATAGAGGTGTGTTAAGGGATCTACAAAGCAGCACCAAGCATTGGGTTTATTATGAAAAATGGGGTGAAAGACTGCTTTATCAAAGGCTTTGATGCATTCAAATTTGAAAACATCTTGTTGAACGGGTTAGTTTGCATTGCCATTGAATGTTGTTAAAAAAATCATTGTGTCAATCACAAAGCGAAGGTTAGAAATGCATATGGTTTGCAATTAATTGCTTAACTTAGGAGGCACTTGTAGCACTAAAGGTAGTCTGGGAGTAAGGAAGGCATGGTGCTTGGAGAGCTCTAAAGGAGTTTCCTTTGCACAAAGTGATCATCAGGCAGTAAATTTGGGGAAATAAGGCTATTTGAGATTCAGTATTCATTTCCTGAGGAGGGGTTCATATAGCTAGGTAGGAGAGAAAAAATGGTGTTCATGGTATTGTAGAAAGACTTGATAAATTAAGTAGCCTTTTCTGATTTTAATAGCTTTTTGGCTATTTGTGATAAAAGTGCCTCTTGTGTCTCGGGGGTAGCAAAAACAGGAGGCTAAAGTTAAGTTCGGAGACATATTAGTGGGTACTGTTTTGTGGATAGTGAGAAGATAATTTTCAGACTGTTTGGGATCACAAACTCTGATGGTTGTCCCTGTTGGAAATGCATTTAAATCTTTTTAGATCTTTTAGGAGAGTTTGAAAATTTTGCTCCTGAAGAGCATCTAACTCTAACTTGGTATTTATATCATCTGTCTTTTAACCTTAGGTTGTGTCCAGCTCGGTGTTCACCCGACCACTGGAATTGAAGCAGGGAAAGCCGGCAGGAAAGGGCACCATTACGGTAAATAAGTTTTTTGTGTGGAAAGTACGGTTTCTTGTTCTTTCATATGTTGTCTGGGACAAAGTAACATTTCTGGTTTTCTGTCGGTGTATCTTCAAATGCTACACCTGTAGCACATGTACATGGAAGGATAGTTATTTGTAACTACAGTTTCTTTTATGGACAAAGTACAAGCAAAACTCTGAGGGGTTTCTTGGATTTTTTTTTTTTTTTTTAAATTTCTGTGGCACAGATTTCAGCAGAGGAGATTAAAGATACCAGGGTTGTGTACTTGGAAATTGAAGCCCGAAATTTGGACAAAAAGGTACTGATTTTTTTTTTAATTATATTGCATGTTTCTGCCATATTTGCAGTTAGTGCCTTTTGGCCAGGAATCTGAATTTGCAGACATTCAAGTAAGCTAGGTAATCCATGTATGAAAAAAGGCTCACTGTGTTTCATTGCTTACAATGAAGTAAAATGGAGACATAATTTCATGTTGAAAACCACAGTGTCAAACCAGAAACTCAAACACCAGGTTTAGGTTTCGAGGGATTATTTTAGCTTTGGAATATTCTACAAATTAATACAGTTCAATTGCATAATTGTCTCAGATGAATATTGTAGCCATGGACTGAGCTTTCTGTAATGTTAGGGAAGACAAGGTGGAAATTTAAGTATGCTGCCTTGATGTTATTTTAAACCAAAGACCAATCCAAGGATTTAGTGACCTCACTGCTCAGTCAGCGAAATTACGTGATTTATAGTGACAAGAATGGTCTGAGGAGGTGGTCTTGGAGTCAGGGCTGATAAATTCTGATGACTTAGAAAGTGCAGTAGTTTAAAAGAGAAAAGTAAAAAGAGAGGAAAACAAATGTATAGTTTGTTTGACTTTGTGCTTTTTTTGAAGTACTGTGCACTGATTAGCCCACCCTTCTCTCATCTGAGTAAAATGTAGGAGGCTGATTACTTCTGTTGGGGTTTTGTTTGCAGGATTTATTAGGTAAATCGGATCCATTTTTGGAGTTTTACAAGCAGAGTGATGCTGGAACATGGCAGCTGGTGTACAGATCAGAGGTAGTATTTCTACGCTGATGTTTTTCTTGAGTTGATCAGACAGCTTGCTCCTTCCAAACATGGGAGTCCCACTCCTGGTCGTGCATTGCACCGGTTCTGCAATGAAAGTTGGCTTGTATCCTAAAAAAGGGATTCTGCTCACTGACCTGGCAGCAAATGGTTTATTTGCTGCCTGGTGACTGGATTAAGCTGGCTCAGTGAAGAGTCCAACCGTGTACCAATTGAGAAGAGTGGCAGGACTCTCCTCCCTGTCAGTGGTGATGAGCTGTTAGGTTGGCGTGGCTCTAAAATTTAACTTTATCCTGAACTTCAAGCTTTTATTTCCTCCAGAGCTTTGGCTTGGGTGTCCATGCATGTCAGGGTTGAACTGACCGAGGCTGTCCTTAGGCAGCCGTGCAGAACCCTCATGTTATGTTTCTTAGTGACTTACTTGCACATCGCATCCCTTACATGACATTATGCTGTATTTTTTTTCAGGTGATTAAGAACAACTTAAATCCATGCTGGAGGAAGTTCAGTGTTCCCTTGCAAACATTCTGTGGTGGAGATTTTAATAAACCTATCAAGGTACAGCCTTCAGAAATTCTCTTTTTTTGTTGTTGTAAGTGATGCAATCTATGTTGATGTTAACTATGAGTTTATCAGATTGTCTAGTCATTGAAATTTTTAGATTGCCTTTCTAGAATAGCAGTGTGGCAGATAAATGATTATATGTCTTTTAAGTATGAAGTCTGTATTAAAACTTACGAGTTGTCAAATTAAGAAGTTGGGAAATACACAAGTGACGCGCTTTCTAATGATTAGTTGTAAGAAGAATTATAACTGATTTTTTTTCACTATTCTGGCCAGGGTTTGGGGTTGGGTTTTGGTGGTTTGTGTGTTGGTTTTTTTGGCTGTTTGTTTTTTTTAATTGTGGGTTTCTAGCACTGTTTCTAAGTTAACTGAGAAGCTCATATATGTTGGATAAGCTTGAGGGCCTTAGGATACTGACACAGAGAGGATCTTAATGCATCTGTCAAATTCATCCATTCATGAGACTGGCAGGCTCTTCCCAACTCTCTTTCAATCTGTTTCAACTAGAATTGAGTCAGAACTGCAATTCCTGGTGGTCTTGTATGTGATTACTGATCCTCTCTGATCCTGGCTTATGAAGGTGGTGGCAGAACAATTACATCTTTTAATAAGTTTCTGCAAAAGAAAATCTGATAGCAAATTAATTTGTTAATTTCTGTTCTAAGCAATGCATTCATAATATAAAGGCATTTAAATCCGTAGATAGTTCTATGTGAGTATAGTCTCTCTCTGCTTATCCAACTCCTAAATGCATTCCATTTGCAGAATTTTCCTGCCTCATCCTGTCCGTGAAGAAATCTCATGCTGGAAGTTTGATCTGAAAGGTTTAGCAAAAAGTATGCATGCTAGTGTTTTTATGTGGGCAGCATGGCAGGTCCAAAGAATTACTGAGGTTATTAACGTGGAAACAGGTGTTCAGGTGTGCTGGGTTTCTTGTTATGTGGTGATGTCATGAGCTTTTATTGTTGGGGAATCAACAGTCTCAGGTCAGAAAGAAGTCCTCTTTGTCAAAAAGTGAGCAGCAAATGTGGAAAGGAGATGGCAAAGAGATGCATATTATCATTTGTCAAAACTGATGCAAGATGGCATGGTTTACACATTCTATTACATGAGGCTTATTTGCTATAGTCCAAAAAGATTTGTGCTTTTGGGTTTTTTTGTTTGTTTTTTTTAATTTGTTTGTTTCTTTTATTTGTTTGGTTTGTTTGGGGTTTTTGATTGTTTGTTTTCCAGAAGCTTTCTGTGCTTTGGAATTCACTTTGGAATGACCTGCTTCTTAGGATAGATCTTTGCTGTTAGTTTGTTCCAGCCAAAATTCTGGATGCATGTGCATCTATTAAGTTTCACAACATAGCTGTGAAAGAGGATTATACTGTTCTTGTACTTACAGGTTAGGGAAGTCAGAACGGGGAATCCAGGCTGACAGGCAGGAGTTTCACTAGCAGCAATAAAAAATACAATATAGCACTGGCGTTTCATTTTTCATCTGATACTTGCTGCTCTGAACCTCTTGTTTAAGGCTTCCAAAAATTTACATAGGAACAATTACGTGTGAAATAACAGTAGTTAGTGAAGGGAGAACTCGTGTACTTCAGCACAGTGGAAACATTTTGATGCGTCCTGTAAACATCAGCTTGGCCAGCTATGTATTAGGATTATGTACTGAATATGTGTGTGAACATAAATCTTTTGATCAAATTATGATGCTACCTTATATTTCAGTAATGCTTTCTTCATTGTGATGTTCTCCTTGGTCTGTGTTAAGAACAGCTCAGACTTGTGACACAGCCTAATCTTCTTGACAGTTTTGTTAAAAATTAGGGGCAAATGAAAGTAGTGTCTCTCCCCCATAGTTATTTAAATGGAGGTAGCAAATGTGAAATTTGTGGGTGTTGGTATTGGGACTAAAGCTGCCAGTCCACGTGTTTGGTGGCATATACATAAAGGCAAATCCATTTTCTGTGAATTTTGAAAGCTGCTTCTGTAGATGAAAGGGACATTTTACCTGCTGACTGTATTCCAAGCCTTGTCATGAATGTTGGATAGTTCCTTTGCAAAGAAACAATTAATCAGTAAATAACTATATACAGTGTCCTGCAGTGTTGCTAGCAGGATTTTGTTTGCAGCAGCACCATTCTTTGGGCTGCTTACAGTGAATGTCGGCCAGTTTTAGAAAACCCTTGCAGAAGGAAGATTGTTTTTAAACTGCATCATGCTGTGAACTAGTAACGAAACTGGTCCTAAATACAATTTTATTGGCGTGGCTGAGAGGGAAGAGGAGGTGCGTGAGGCGGTAGCTGCTGAATGCTCTGCAGCTCTCTAGGGAAGGAGACACGGCACTGGAAACCTGCACCCTGGCTTTTGCACGAGAGCCTCCTTCATTGGCCTCCCTGGCATAATGCAGTTGCTTTTGGGTGATATTTAAACATCTGAATTGTTGAGAGAAGTGGAGCTGAGTTCAGGCAGGAGGTCGGGAGTTGTTTCATGGTGGAATGTGCAGAAGAGAGGAGTGGAAAGGTCGTGGGTTGGGAAGGATAAAGGGGGAGAAGGGGAGCACAGTCTCTAAGGTGATCGTGTTTTCTCATTGAGAGACTGAAGGATGACACAGTGATTCCCATTTAGGTGGCTAGATTAGGGCATAATTCACCCAGCTTTTTGTACATGTTTCCTACTGGTTCCAGTGGAAGATCTCTAGCGGATCGTCATCCTAAAAGAACCCTGTCTCAAATTCAGATATCTTAGCCATCAAATTTGACATCCTTATCAAGGTGTTACCCATGGGTTCACGTTGTCCCTTCATCCTGAGGAGAAAGCTGTCACTGTGGTTTATACTGGAGTAACATCCGTTTCTTGATTACTAAAGGCAGACCTCAGAAAGAGAGCTTTTGAATCTGTGTCACATGTGAACTTCAGCAGGGGAGGAAGCAGCTGTTCACAACTGTTTCTTGATTGACTGCTTCTGGAGTTACTTGTGTTCTGCAGTCATGTGTGTTGTGCATGTTATAAATGCTCCTCGTAGCTGATTTTGTGCGGAACCATTGACAATATCTGTCTTACTGTGTTTGCTCTAAGCCCTAGTTATTAGCCTGTTTTTATTTGTAAATGCATTACTCTTTTGCATTATCTAGTTCTGAAGCTTTAATGCTGATTTAAGCATGACTGGTTATTAATGAAGTATTTATAATTTGATTGGTATAAGATGCAGAAAAAAGCAAACTCAGTGCTCTGCGGAAATTGCAATTTCTTTGTAAATTGATGCTATTTCTGGGCAGAAGAAAAGAGTATATTCAGAAAGTGCCTAGATAAACTTTTAATTGCTTCTTCCCATTACCCCAGTTGCATATCTTGTCCTGAATGATCTCACACTTATACATCTGGGCTGTGAAATGTTGGGGATTTTTGTGATTTTTTTTTTTTTTTTAATCTGTTGTGTAGCTGGGGACGGCTTTTAATTAAAACCTTCACTGTGTGTACTTAAATGGGTGAGCAATTGAACATCTTCCTTCCTCTGAGATTCACTCTGGGTGTCTCTCTTACTGGCAGGTTTCAGTTAATGATAGGGATGGCCGCACCAGCTCAGATGGGATAGGGGAGTTCACTAGCGTGGCTGCAGAGCTGTCAGAAGCAGGAGGTCACGGAACGAGCAACTGCAGTTGTCCCTAATGCCGTACACTTGCCCATTGTTTGCACTCTCTTCCCTTTCAGGTACAGTGTGCAGATTACGACAGCGACGGGTCGCATGACTTGATAGGCACTTTTGAAACTAACCTGACTCAGCTGCAGAAAGGAGGTGACGGCTCTGCGGTGAGCTTCCTCAGTCCCCGCTAACTTACTCTAATTCAGTCTTTCACAAACCCTTTTTAATACTGACCTTCAGTGGTATATTTTTAGTTGTTGCCTCCAAAAGTGATTTTTTCTGTCTGTATCTTTGTATTACTAAGCAAGCACCTGGGAAGAATAAAACCTGGTGTGGGAATTATATTGCTCTGTTTTCCTTGGATACTGTTACCGTTCCTATTCCTAAAGACATCCTTAAGCCCATACCCTAGTAGTTCAGCTTGCTTTTGCCACCGCTGAGTCAAGTGGAAATAAAAAGGCTTGTTCATGCTTTAACAGATGAGTCCTAAGGCAGGGCTTCTCTCAGATAACATTTGTGCTTGAGCTGGTCACCCTCATGAGCACTCTGGTCACCTTTCTAGCTGACAGAGAGAAACAGTGATTACAAGGGGCACTGTTCTTACTTAGTCTTGGGCATCCAGTTCAGAATAAGTTGAATCATTTGCTGGTGGTGCTGGTTTCTCTGTTGTCTGCAGTGAAAACCTGCACTCTCATTCTCGTGGAGATGTCTTGTCTGAATTCAGGCAGATGAATCCGCACACAGGACATAGCCTAGGACTGCTTCCACTTGCCAGCCAGCTTGATTTCTGTGGTTGTAATCCTAAAGCTGGTGGGAGATTCTTGCCTTTTTTCCTAGCCCATGTGAAATCAGAACTAATGTGAGTGAAACAAACGAGTGAAACATTGCCACTGGGAACCTGCAACCTGGGCCAAAAAAATGTCCTCCCCACCCTGAGATTTTGCCTCCCTGTTTTCTGTTTGACTGCATTCCCTTCCCTTAACCAAAAAAGAACCTGATATGTTAAGAGAAATGGTTGTATCTGCAATTGACTTTTTTCCCCCCTCTGATTCAAAGACACTGTTCCATGATTGCATACAAAATTAACAGTTACGTTGCTGAGGAGAGAGACTTTTCTGAGGTCTTGCCTTGTGTTTTGCCCGATGCTGGTAGTAAAAACATCGCATTTAACTTGTCAGATAGCAGCCAAAGTAGTTGCAAACCTTTTTTAAAATTAAGCTTCAGAATTCTGCCAGGTATTCGTGTAACTGAAATTGTGTGATGTCTGACACCATTCTATTTCAATAATTTGCCCTGCTGTAAATGCAGGTATTTTGGAACTTGCTTCTTGCTTGCTTGCTTTCTGTAGGTGGAATTCGAATGCATTCATCCTGAGAAAAAACAAAAGAAAAAGAGCTACAAAAACTCTGGCATTATTAGGATAAAATCCTGCAAGGTGGGAAGATTGTTGTTTTTTGGCTTTTTTTTATTTTCTGATCATAATGAAACCTGTTCTTGTGTGGAGGAAGCATAACACTGTCTGTCTCTTTCTCTAGACCGAGACAGAATATTCGTTTCTGGACTACGTCATGGGAGGCTGCCAGATTAACTTTACAGTGAGTTGTTGCCCCACTTCACATCTTGGTAGATGATAAGAGCAATGAAGTTGTGATTAATACTTTTATTTGCAGCGTGAATGACTGCAAATGCAGTGTGAATGATGACTGCAAAAAACAAATAATAAATATCTTTTTACTTTTTGTGATCAAGTGGCAACTTTAATGGAACTAGCGTTTCTTAAACTTCTTTTGCGAAATCAGTTCAGGCTATTAGTGGAAAGGATTACTCCTTCTTAAACATGCATGTACCCCAGTGGGAGACGGTACACGGGCTTGTTTGCCTGTCCCTGTATCGGGCTGCCTGTGTGCCTGGGAGGAAGGGAGCTATGTGGGCCTGGTCTAACCACCTGTTTCTGAGTATCGTTAATTTTTCTCATTTGCTTATGGTGATGCATCAGTGACTTGCTGTCATCATCTTGACTGATCAGGTGGGCGTAGACTTCACTGGTTCCAACGGAGATCCCAGGTCACCAGATTCTCTTCACTACATCAGCCCAGATGGGATAAATGAGTACCTGATTGCCATCTGGAGTGTGGGAAGTGTAGTCCAGGATTATGACATGTATGTAACAATCTTAACCAATCTAGCCACCGCATCAAAATGTGTCACAGCGGGTGTCAGTGATCAAGGCTGATAGCTTGTTCCAGAGCTGTAGGGTTTGAATGACTGAGGTGCTACCTTTCCTTGGGAGATCCCTTCTCCTGCTTCCTCCTGCTTCTGTCACTGCCAGGGAGGGTCGTGGCAGCCCTTCGTAATTTGGCATATTTGCTTGGTTTGTCCCTCCAGGTCTGCCCTTTTATGGCACCAGGCTGCTTTGTAATGCTGCTTTGGCTGGTGTCTAATCCCTTGTTGCTGACGGTGCATTTCAGATATGAATGCCCTGTTTGATGCAATGGGAATATGTTTGTCTGCTCTGTATTTCAGCCAGCCTGTGGTTGGGTTGACTTTTCTCTTGCTACTTTGAAATCTCCTGAGAGTCCTGTGGGGTGCTGCACTGAAAGAAACTCTGAAACTGTCAAGCCCAGGCCTGAAATCCTTGGGTGACTGGTGGCTGGCCACGGGGAGTTAGATAGTGTACCTGTTCCTTATGGCAGGAATTGAACCTTGGTCTCCAGCTCCTTTCTGGGAATGAAACAGAATAGTAAGTTATTAAAGAACTGCTCTTTCTCATTTATTATTGTTGCTCTTTCTCTCCAGGGACAAGCTGTTTCCTGCGTTTGGGTTTGGAGCTCAGATTCCTCCTAGCTGGCAGGTAGGGCCTTCACAATGCTGGGCGGTTGCTCTGTCCCTGTCTGTGTTCCCTAACTGTTTGTAATGTCCCCTTTCCTAGGTATCTCATGAGTTTGCTTTGAACTTCAACCCCAGCAACCCTTATTGTCAAGGTGAGGACACCTCTTTATTAATATTTCACTGAGAGGGACCGATGTTTGAAGTGTTGTATTTCTTTCATAACTGGTGAAAAACAGATGCAGCACCAAGACATGCAGGAAACTAGATTTACTCTCATGGGGATGCTGACAAGAGTGGATATGTGTTGATGCAGACTTCTGTGCGGTCTACATAAGCTCCAGTGAAGGGGTCTAGATTTAACTTGATCGCTAGTTTGTGCTGAAAATTCTGTTGCTGCAACTTGGTTACTTCTGGTATGTTATAGGTAGCAGTGGTTTCAGATCAGCAACGTGCCTGTGCTAGTCACACTTCCAGACCATCTGCTAAGGCTGTTTTAGAGACCATCGTTACTTCATCGGCAACATGTCTGCGTTTGAATGTTACCTTTTAAAGGGTTGTCTTAAAAGCTTTTTTTCTTTATAGCTGTCTTCTTTAGTGGAGGTGGTTTCAGCTGTTTTTAGTGGCTGCTCTCTAAGATGGATTATGACCTTTTAGGACTAAGAACTGTTTCAGCATGCAGTGACACAGAATTGTTCTTGAACAAGCATTTCTAACTCAGTTCAGTTTTTCTCTCTGATCTAAGGCCAACAAAAAATGGAGTCTGAGTTTCAGTGTTAAAGTCCAAGCATTTCCTTGGTTAGTTTGGCATTGTCTGCCTCATTGGGATCTGTGTCTTTGCTTTTTAAGGGTCCCTGTGCAGTAGTTTTGAGAGATACTGCACTAAAACCTGCATGGTGGACAATGCAAGCAACAGTGGCAAGTGAAGCTACATTGATACAAGCTCAGAATAGGCCAATTTAGATGGATCCACAGAAGAACACGCGCCATTTAAAATCAGACTTTAAAACCACTTTTGTTTAGTTAACCTGAGAAAAGCTGTTTACATAGGAAAAGCCTTAGGGTTTGCTATTTCTGTTACAAAAATGTTTGAATGCTGAATCAGGGATCGTGGTCGATGTTTCAGACAAAGAAAATGAAAAGTCACTGTTCCAGAGAGTTTCTGACCTTGTTGTCTTATTAGACTATAAGCAATGAAACAAGACAAATTGGATGACAAGGTAGTCATCAGTGTGCCTTCACTGGATTATTTTTCCCGCAACTTCCATGAGCTTTGTGATGTTACAGGCACAAAGGAGTGATGTGAAGAATGCAGAATGGGGGAGAAATCTGCAAATCCTCTCTCTGCAGATGTCCACTGGTTTCAGCCCTGTGCTTTGTATATTTGCTGTTATCCTGCTGCTTATTGGCCCTTTAGGAGTTCACAGCTGTGTAAGAGTTGTTATCCTTTTGCCTTACCATTTAGTAATGCTTGCAAAACAATTGCTGGAGAAGTTGTGAGGCTCTTGTGGCAGCTTGCCTTCCTTGTGTTACAGGGATCCAAGGAATAGTGGATGCCTATCGCCAGATCCTGCCTCAGATCCGACTCTACGGGCCAACCAATTTCTCTCCTATTATAAACCACGTGGCAAGATTTGCAGCGCACTCGGCACAACAAGGAACTGCTTCAGTGAGTGCATGTCCTTTCCTGTGAATCTGCATTGGGTTGATGTTTGTGTTTCCATGGAATGGTAAAGTGCTGTTCTCTTCCTTCCTCAAGATACCAAGTTTGGTCCTCTCCTATCAGCCTACAGAGAGGCTGTTGGTACTCTCTTGGTACACATTGATATGAACCTGTACTTGGCAGACATTGACACTAGTTTCCATTGTTCAAGTGATATTTATTTATCTTTTTCATACTTTGCTGGCATTGTACTTACTGTTGAAGTATACAGGGGTGCTGTGTTGGCTTTTAGACCAGTTGGACTCTGTCAGCAGTTGCCTCACTCTTTTGCCAAGCTCCATCACCTGTAGGGAATGCATACCGTATAGAGGGGCCCTATATATTTTATTCCAAACAATTTTGCTCTCAAGAACCTACAAAAAGACCACCTCCAAGAAAAATATCAGAGGTCTTGACTATCCATCCCACCATAGTGGCATGCAGAATCAGGGTATCTAGAAGGCCAGATTAACAAAGGAGTCTGAGAACTGTTAAATCGGTCGCTAATTGCATTGCAGAGTATCCGTGCCACCCAACAGTTGTGTTGCATGTCTCATTTGTGTGCTTGCGTGGCCATGGCTGCTGTTAAAATTCAACTCAATTTCCTTAAGCTTCATTCTTTTTGCTTAAGGATGAAGGACTCGTATTTCCTGATAGATTTAACCAGTTCCATTCTGACAGACCAGTCAGAAGGAATTTTGATGTACACTCTGATACTTGCTTTATGGTCTAGCTGTGTCAGTATTTTTGGTTCTGCTTATGTTTGTGTGTACGTCGAATACGTTTCCCATACTGTGAGGTGCTGTTTCCCATACTGGGAGGTCTAGGGACATCTGTTCCTGACATTTCTGAGGGTATTTTTTAGCCTTCCCAATACTTGGGGGAATCTTCATATTTCTCTTTATGTGTTAAATAAATCTACTTTTTCTTATAGATGAAAAAACGAACTATTTAAATAAAGAATCTGTCAGTAATGGGGTACAACTGTAGTAACACTTGTGTTAACGGGGATTTGGAATTGGAAGTTCAGTTTTATTTTCGTTGCGTGTGTAATTTTTTGTTTTCGTTTTAATTCTGTAGATAGCTGCCATAAAAAAAAAAAAACGGTTGCTCATTTCAGAACCAGGTGCTAAACCTTAGCCTCTGGAAAGGAAGGAAATTTTAAACACTCTACCATGCTAATGTGTTGGTTTGAGGTATTCTTTTTTTCTTTCTAGAAAAGCTCCTGTATTCTTCCCCTCTTGTTATCTCTAGAGTGTCTTTGTGTCATGACATTTGACACATTGTCAAAACACTGCTGTGCTTTGAGATTTCTAATACTTAAGATTTAAATTATTGGTAACTAAAATGAAGGCTTGTCGATTTACACTTCAGGGATATTAAATTTAAAACTTAAAAAATTAAATCTAAATTAAACTTTAGCTTTTTGAGATATCAATAAGTAAAGCAGCATTCATCAGTGAAGTCTGTATGCAGCTTTGTTGATTTAATAACACTTTGCCCATCTCTAGTACTTTTTGCCAATTGATGTACTTGTTCTTTATAAATTGAATTACTAATTTTCTAGTACAGAGGAAGTCTGAAGTGCACAATGAATGGTGTTATGCATATGAAAAAATGGAACTAAGCATAAGTTTCTTTAATGTTCTGGTTTTGTCTTATCCACAGCACCACCTGATTTCTTTCTTAGAATAAGAAATTACTCCATTTGCCTTCAGTGACGTGAGCGTTGGTGTTGAACTCCCTAACTGGGTGCTTTCTAATGTTTTTCAGCAATATTTTATCTTGCTGATCATCACAGATGGAGAGATCACTGACCTGGACCAAACTAGGCAAGCGATCGTTAATGCCTCAAAGCTGCCGATGTCCATCATTATTGTTGGAGTTGGTGAAGCTGATTTCAAAGCAATGGAGTTTCTTGACGGAGACAACGGTGTCCTGAAGTCCCTGACAGGAGAGCCAGCTGCACGAGACATTGTTCAGTTTGTGCCTTTCCGACAGTTCAAAAACGTAAGTTGTCTTTAACTTCAGAAGAGTCCTGGTGGCAGTATATATGCAGATACTACATCTTAAAAATGAGCATGGGTCCAGAGAAGGCAGCAAGCTGCACGCTCAAGTGCTATCCAAGCCGCTTGTTCCCAGTGAGAGCTGAGATGTTTGCCTGTGTGTTCGAAGCCGTGTGCCTTGTCGCAGCTCTTTTGTAGCTTTCCTTCGAGATTTAGTATACTATCTCTTGGCTATTACAGCATTAAAGGAGTAAAGGAGATGTTTTCTCTCCTGGGATGCCAATGTTCAGGCAAGGAAATGAGATCATAAATGCAGCAAGGAACTCTTGAAATAGGGAGTGAGATGTGGCAGGTAGGGGGCTGCGCTCTGAATCTGTCACTGGGCTGATAAATCCTTTCTCTGCAGTATTTCTGATTTATTCTCCCTGTTCTTGCAGGCTCCCCGGGAAGCGCTTTCCCAGATGGTTCTGGCTGAAGTGCCTAAGCAGCTGGTGTCATACTATAAATGGCAGGGATGGCCACCCATGAAACTGCCGGAAATAAAGATGATGTAGATTGCAGCCTGACCCTAGCCACCTGTATCAGGGGGGTGAAGAGAGCTGTCTGCAACCACACTCTCTCTTGCATGCTGTGGGTGCTCAGTGTCTCAAGTCTGTACCATTCACACTCTTACCTGCTTGTGCTCTGTGTCTTTGATCTTTCCTGTTCCTAATTGGAAGGAATGTAAATATGGAAAAAACACAACTACTGGCAGGTTTTGTCACAGAAAAACAGACCTTGTTGGTTTTCCACCTTGCAACAGTGGCATGTCATACCACGCATCATTGCTTGACATGGCCCATCCGCTGCTTGGTGTCAGTGTGGGCATGTGCACTGAGCTGCTCATGCAGCACTGCTTCAGTGCTGAGTTTGGTAGGAGAATTACTGCAGTCTTCCTTGGTAGGGTTTTTTTTCCTTCTATCAAGCTGCTTTGTGAATGGGGACCCTTCTGTCTTCATTGGTACCAAGGTCTGTTGGTTGGATGCCTGAGGTAGTTCATGTTGTGCCTTCATAAAGTGTCAGTATATTTTTATATGTAGAAGTTTATTTTTAAGTTTCAGTGACCATACTTTGCAGTCTTCTTTTTAATCACATTGTTCTATTAGCAAAATTTGCTTCTGTGATGGCCTCTTGCTTGGAGCCATTGTTGCCATTTAAGAACACTGCACTTTGCTTATTTGGGGGAGGGGACATTAATGAGGATTAATCATTAAGTAATCATGGGTGGGGTGGGATTAATGAGTCACATTAATGTGACTTTCAAAATCCAGCAACTGGAAACATTGAAATAAAGATGCTTTGTGATTCCTTTGTGTCACAGAAGTTAGGAAATAAAGAGGTAACTATCTGTGGAACTCCAAAGAGGTGCTTGCTTGTCCTCAGAGGTGTGAAGTGTCTATGGTGTGGTCTGGGGACTAGAACAGGTCCATGAGAGCAAAACACGATTATTTGGAGAGACTGAAGTTGATAGTTCATTTCAAAATAGAGGTAAAGAAACTTGGGCTTGTCATTGCACTATAAGCGGTCATTCCTTTCAGTTCCATAAATAAATAAACTGCTTTTACATACGTAACATGTCTCGACTCTCCTTTCTGGGGTTTTCCTTTTGTTTTCCAGCAATGTGGATGGTTTGGTTTATGGAAGGTCTTTGCTATAGCGCTGGCCTGGTGGTGATTCAGCATCTGAGGTAGCCTAGGCTGAGTGTGATCAGCTGCAAAAGCAGAGAAAGTTGTCCATCATTGTTAGTTTTGTTACCTGTTAATCACTAAGACTGCTGAATGTGTATCCTGCAGCCCTGTCCTGCAGTAGGATGAGCTGTTTCTTTACTGTGAAATTAGTAAAGAACTCATGTGTTCTACCAGGTAAACCAGGAAATGGTGAGAATACATTGGAAGACTGCCCTGGTGATTCAGGCTATGAAACTGGTAGGTTACAAGCCTGTGTAAAAGCAGAACCTGGGTGTGAATCCATGTTCTCAACTAGACTAATTGTAGTAGATGGTATCTGCCACCAAACAAACTAGTATGGAGCTTGTGCTTGAAGGGTTGTGGGTCTAGGACTGCTGCTGAGCAAAGATGAATTTGTGTTAGTTTTTTATTCAAACCTAGTTTTGACCACGATGTGTTCTCTCAGGTTCCACAGGCAGCGGGGCTGTCTCTCTTGAAATACTCTGTCATCTAGCCTGCGGCAGCAAATTTTCTTGCACTTAGGTTCTTGAAGGAAACCAGGCAACCTCTCTTCTTGAGTGGCTGCCTTAACCAAAGTGTGTTACAAGTGTGGAGGAGAGGGAGGAAAACTGCCAAGTCTTCTCTGAGAAACTGTACTGTGGTTGAGAGCGTCCTTTACTCATGTTTTCAGCTGCTTACAACCTGTAGGCAGAGCTCTCCTTCGCTGTATTACGCATACAAGAAACCTAAGGCTGGTTTTTGTGTGTGTGTATCTTTTTTTTTTTTTTTTTTTAATAAAGTGGTCCTTAAAGAATATTTACAGCAGTAGTTCTGAAGGCTCACCAGTCCCTTGTTTGGACCAAGAAATACCGGTGGCAGTGTGTACTGCTTGGCTTCAATGAATAGTTTCTTTGGCAAGATGTCAGAAGCACGTTGGGACTTTCCTTTGCTCCAGTAGAAGATGGGCTCTGAGACAGCAGAATGTGTAGTGGGAAATTCGTTTCACCTCTTCCTTTCAAACCTCTGCCAGTTGCCACTCAAAAGGAAGAGAGTGAATCCTTCGCCTCTCTCTGCTGGCTATCAGGAGTGGAGTCACTGTGTTCTGCAGCTAGCTGAGGTGTCTCCAGGTGCTGGACTCGATGGTAGGAGAGACCTTCCCTGTTTTGGGGAGGAAGAGGCTAAGATGTGCAGTAGGCAGGTCTGAGGAAGTTCTCCCTGCAGGAGCAGAGGAGAATTTGGAGGAGATGCTGTTTACTTGCAAGTAAGTGGCTGAAACTTGAACAAGCAAAAGGACACAAGTCCTGTGGTTGTCACTTGAGAACAAGAGCTTCATGGGCATGGGCCTGGGCCCAGGTAAAAAGCCATGGGAGGGTCAAGCTTGGAAGCTGCTGAACTGGGATGGCATGACTTTTGCCCGTTTTCTCTCATTCTTGACTCTCCCCAGGGCTCCTGGTTTTAGAGGCAGTGAAGATGGCTGCTGGGTGCTTTGGTGAGAGACTGGGAGCTGTGTCTCCTGCCTTGTGCTGCCCTGGGTATAGCTGAAATGCAGATTTATGGCATGGTTGTCGCCTGAGGTAGATGAGAGCTCGGGTTTGAGCTCAGGTTTTCTTCCTCAGGAGAAAGTGCTTTTCTTGCCCAGTGCTGGTATACACTCTGTCATCCCGGATCACACTCTTGCTTTATCTACAGTAAACATGGGGAACACCCCAGAAGTCTTTATTCTGGCCTTAGTGGACATTGAGCAAGCACCCTTGTACTTGCGGTCCCCAAAGGTATTTCAGCCTCGGGGCTTTGTGTAAATCAAAAGCTATTGCATGTGGGAGCTCATCGGGACGGGTTCCTCTTGCTTATAGGACACCTAGCAATAACTACTGGTGACATTTCATGCCAGGCTATGCCCTCCCCCTTGTTTGTCCAGACAGCTGATTGGGCTAAGGGTCCTACTGGGGGTCTAAAATGTTTGTTTCCCCCAGGGCCTGTTTCACCAAGACTGAGGCACTGTCTTCAGCTGAATGCAAGTGATTGGACTGCTCCAGGTGTTTGAGGAAGCCACACAAACTCCACTGGGAGATGATGGCTTTTGATCAGCTTTAAGCAGATACTGGATTCACCCATCAGTGGTCTGAGTGTTTCACTGAATAGTCTAAATTGACCCCTTGCCCCCCTCCAGCCATGACTGGGTGTGGGGTCAGTGCACTGAGCTTTCTGTGCTGCCCTAAACTGATGGGCTCCTCATCTGGGTTCACAAAAGTGGTGCCAAATGCTGCTGGCCTGCTATGTTCTGTTGCTGCACCATGAAGTGGCATCCTCCCCACCAGGGCTTGTCTCCCCTGCCACTGGTGCCGCTTTCCTGGCACTCCAGGAAGCTCTTGTGTTAAGAGGGAAATAAAGGGAAGAGCCGCAGGGCTTGTTTCGAAGCAGCCTGGCGTTGCAGAGGCATGGTTCACTCGATGTTTGCAGAACTGGATTAGCCACCCTGCACGGCCTGTGTGGGTGCTGGCGCTGGGTGCTGAGCGGGAGAGCCAGACCCCCGGGAGAAGAAATGCTCTCCAAATCCTGCTGAGCTCATAATTGTACGATTGCTTTAATCTGGCCTGAATCTGTGGTCCAGAAGGGCTCCGGCATCCCTCCTTTACCAGTTCTGGTGCGGGTGAGATGAGCTGGATCAGGCCAAGCCGGTGAGTGCAGCTATGAGCACAGCTGGCTCCTGGCACGGTGCGCCCCGGCTCTCCCCTCTGCGCCCTGCGGAGCTGCTCCCCCGCTGTCCCCGCCTTTCAGTGCTCGTCTCTGTCCTGCGGAGAGCTGGCAGCCGGGCTGCAGCCTCTGTCCCCAGAAAGTGCTCTGGCGTCCCGCTCACAGCAGTCGGCCCCCGCCTCAGCGCAGGGCAGGCGGGAGGTGCGCGGGGGCTGCTGAGCCCAACCCCCCTCCCCCGTCCCCTCC